TATATATAATATACGTATTCAAATGTTGAAAAACAAACAATCTTAATCATTCAATGTTCAGATCTGCATACCACATCTTAATATTCAGACGTGCATTTAGATTCAGACGTCTTAATTTTAAAAAAAAACAAGCGAGGTCTTAGTAATTCGCTTGGTAAAGGATAAGGTAACAAGAATCTTTTAAACCCTAATATAAGAAATTTTGTAATCCATTTCCCGGGTAGGATTTCTGAACTTGTACTTTTTTACCCTAAAACCCCCAAAAGTCCAAAACCCTAATTGGTCAACAATCTTCATCTCTGTTCAATTACTATGGTGTCCAGGAAGTGATGGATGGTGTGGCGGCTCAATGGGACTTCAACTGGTAGTTTCTCTTCTCTCTTTATACTATAGTTCCTCTTACCACCAACAAATAAATCTTAGTTTACCTATTATGTATATTAAAAGGAGATATTTATGCTCTTTGCCAGTTTTTCTTGGTTTAGCCACTCATTTGAACATACCCTTATGGTTTTATTTGTTCCTTGTTAGAAAGGTTTCTCCTTTTCTGCTGTTTTCTTCTAACTTTTTTTTTGGGGGTACCTGGTTTTCAGGTAATGGGGCATGGCTGAACTATCTGTGTTTCTTTTCTCAGAGGATGGGGGAAACAGAGTATATATATTGCATATATAAATAATATACTGGTCTTATTAAAGGAAACATGTCACACTATCAACAAGTAATGTCTCTCTGATGTCCCCCGTAGTGTATAATAGTTTTGTATCAACACTATTGGAATGAAGTCTAAGCTTTATATAACAATCTAATGCAACTGATTTTTTCCTTCATGTCTATTCTGACCTCTAGAAAAAAAGTGGTTGGCCACTATTGTCAAAATTTGCATTTGTCTAATTCTAATTTCGCATAAGTTCACCAGCTTTTAGTGGAGTATTGTGTCTTCATTTTTCTTAGAGGTATCTAATGCTTTGTAAAGTGGTTTATGGACCATATGCGATTCTAAATCTATTTCATTGGACGTGAAGCTTTCATATAATGTATGTACTTGCTCGGGCTTGCTTCTTTCTAAGATACATAATTTCCGTATCCCATTGTTTGACTACTAAGTTAGTCCTCTGAATTTGTTTACGGTCGTTGTTCCGCTCTTCCTTTTTCGTATCCATTCCTTTTGGACCTTTCTACTTCTTTAAAAGCCTTTCAGCTAAGAATATGTCTTTCCTTAAACTCAAGAATCAGAATTGAATGGTAGATGATGTAGAGACTTCTTTTTTGAATTTTTTGAAGCCTTGTAAGATGAACAAGGCCTTTTGTAATTGTAAATATGACTGTCGGTACCAACTTGGTGCTGATGAATATACATGTTACCTTTCTCAAAAAGAATCTGAACTGAAGAACAGAGTAGCAAACGTTTGACATCTAGTCACTAGAAATAATGAGATTTACTCTATGTTAATGCACTTTTAATTGTATTCCCATGAAAAGGAGTGATGCTGTTTCTTCTTATCTAACTTTATGAGGTGTACTTTTTGCAGCAACTTGGAAGTAGATCTTGGATCTGAAGAAAATGCTGACATTGTGTATACTGCGTTGGCTGTTGATAAAGAGGTAAAATGATTCTTGAGTTTTTTTTATGCGTTATAGTATCTCTTCCAATCCAACTAGTGCTTTAACTCTGTACAATTAAAAATTGCAGTTGCAGCCAGATAAAGTGAAGAGGCATATATCTGTATCTAACGGGAAGCTTTCAGTGTGAGCACTTGTTTCTACCTATGTTGCTCGGACTCTCCAAAAATGTCGCTGCTAGTGTTGGATCCTTCAAAAATAGTGTATTTTTGAAGGATCCAATACGAGTGCTGCAGCATTTTGGAGAGTCCGCACAACATAAGTTTCTACTAATGCACTTGCTATTTCCTTGTAAAATTCTGCATCATATAGCTTACTGAAACTTCTCCTGACGCTTGCTTTACAGGCATTTTGAGGCTGTTGAAGCAAGATTTCTTCGTGCATCGTTTAGTGCATTCGTAGATGTACTCACACTCGCAACAAAGACTATTGAAGAATTTGGTCCAAAGAAGGAATAGAGA